GGTTAAGAACTGATAGCAGTAGGACACAGGAATATTTATCCCTCCAAAAATCCTGCGTAGAGCCACATCTATTACTTGGGCGGGGCATTTGTAAAGGTGTGTCCTGCTTAGGGGGGCACACAAATAAGTCTCTGATCACCATTCCCGAAAAGGTTTACAGTACGGCCTAGAATTCGCTAAGCATGCCGATATATGCGAAAGATTGATATCTTCTCTTGCTAAGCGGTCTTGAATAAGGTTGCAACACTGATTATCGTGTAGCCTATTCTCAAGTCATTTCAGTCACGATAGGCTGCCGGCTTTTAACGAGCTTCTTTCTGGCCGCTAACAAAACGTACGTACTGCAAAAAGTGGCTACTTAAGTAGTATGCAATTTATCATTGATTTTGACTGGCTTTATAAAATGAAACGAAGAAAAATTATTTCTTCTACCCTTTAGGTAGAAAATTACGCCTTCGTTTAATGTTATGCTTAAAGAATGGGTATCCTTTGGTTTTAAAAAAGTTTCTAATTATGAGATTTTTTACGATTGTGATGTGTTCATCCATTATAAATCAAATCTGTTAATTTATTAATGCCGCCTATAATGCATAAACCATATTCCACATCTATTGCAATAATTTATGAGAACTATTTGACTCCTTCCCCAAATTTAAGGCGAAAACGTACTTTTCCTAAAAAAGGATGTTCACAGCGCGCAATTTGTAAACCTTGAATTCGAGTGTAGCTCTCAGTAGGTTTTAAAAATTAATCGGCAATTTGGAGACTCTTTTAAAACCGAACGATACCCTGTCTTTAAGTATAGAAATTAAGAAATGCGTGATTTCCTACCAAATGAGTGCGAGAAATAATATTTTTATTTTATTTTTTCCATAAAAGATAGTTGAATTTATAAAGACAGTCAAAATAAACGATAAAATTGCATATTGCTTAACTAGCAATTTGTTACCCGTACATAATTTTTGTTAGCGGTCACAAGGCAGCCCATTAAAAAGCCGGAATCCTATGCTGACTGAAATGACTTCAGCATAGACTACACGATAATCAGTATTACAACTTTGCTCAATACGGATTAGCGAGAGAGTATCAATCTTTTGCATATGTCGGCATGTTTCAAGAATTCTAGGACGTACTGTAAGTAATCCATAGATAACTGTACTATGAGTGCTGACCAGCTTTTCGATTCATGTCCTGCAGTATTATCCTGTGCCGTTGAGTTGTGGCCTTCTGAGAAAATGAAATCGCACGCGGATAAATAAGCGTGTCTTAAAGCGGCAGATTGCTCTTTTTATATGCCGCTCTTTCTTTTTTGCGGGATGAGCAACTCTGTTGGAGAAACCGACTGACGGTTACAAACGTGGCTGTAAGAAGGTTGGCTTCAAAAGGGGAGGTAGTATTTCATGCTACAGAGAGCTGAAGCACGTTTTCAACTTTGATGGCGTTAAAAGTACGGGCCGAGGTAATGACAACACATCAAGGCAAATTAAAGAAGCCTAGATGTCAACCAACTGTCCAGCAAACTATCACATAAATTTGTCTACCTATCTGGTCTTACGGGCCTTCATGCCAAGGGAACAATCGCGAATTAGAACAATCGGAGCCGCCAAATATCTGTACGGCCAACGCGCGAAACAAACACTAGAGACACGCCGGAAAACGTGGCATTCACGTTGGGTAACGTGGAAGTCAGTAGCTGAGACACAAGCGACACTAAGATCCTAGTTATACACGATGACTTAGCCGGTGATAGCAGTCTCTGAATATGGATTGACGAAGCAACAACCCAAAAACATCAGACGCACAATTAACTTAGCCCGGTGAACGGTCTTTGTTGAAGAGTCCCATAACCGCAGGATAATTGGACTACCCGTTTTCCTCTAAGTTTATCTTTCATGTTTTCAACATGCCTTCTTTCCGTCTATTTGCTAGGGCGACGGTGGAGTCCTCTGCTACTTTCGTGTCCATCGCAACAAGGCCAAGGGGTTTGTCGTCCTGGAATCTTTCGCACATCCTGATCTATTTTTATCTATTTTATCCAACGGCTCCGTAACGGCTAGTAACAATGCGGATGGGACCAACGGTGCCGACGTTTGTATCTACCCAGAAGTTGTTGAATGTAAGTGTACTTAAGGAAGGACCAAAGAACAGCATGCTCATTATAACTCTTCATCGTCTCCAAAGTTCGATAAATCCCTTCATAATCAATAATTTATAACTAATCAAAGTTTACTCCTGACCGGTGCAGTTATTTTGTGTCGGTAAGGATTCCTTGTTGGGTCTTCGAAAAGTCCTTATTTATTATAACCGCCTACTTACAAATATTAAGTAGGTTAAATTACCTACAATTTTCAAGTTTTCTCTACGCCAGCCGTCAATCTAGCAGAGACTGGATGATGGCATTGAGCTAGAGAGGCGTCCTCGGAAGGCCACCGCATACAATAACCGCTTAAGTCAGTATACTAATCAAATAAGGCTTTTCAAATTAACCACTAGAATAATCGCCTACTTACAAATTTTAAGTAGGGTCAATTTCCAATATCTTCAACTTTGTTCGCTCGTTCACCTTTATTCTAGTTGGCGTTAGTGCTCCTACTAGAAAATGTACCCCAATGACCTCGCCCGAGGTCGGGGCACACTTCCCCGACATGCACGCTCTCGCTGTCTGTCCATTTGGGGGCTTAGCGATGATATTAATGCTTACTTCAGTGCCGCCGCCCGAGGTTTGAATACGCGACCCAACTGACCCTCGTAACTTTCTTATTTTTCAGGGTTATTGCGACCTAGTTTATTCCCTGACATTCCCCGCCCGTCTTCTCCCCTAAAATCAGGAACCCGTAAGATCGAGGGGCGCGCTTAGTGCTCCCCCCAGGCGGCCCCACGAGGTACTCCTACCGTTTTTTTTTATTTATAAAGAAGCCATTGACCAACAAATGAAGAGAAATGTACGGCACCCCTTGTTAGTTTGGAATGGAAAACGGTATTAATAAGCCTAAATACGGATGAATGTCAGCGGTTTCAGGAAGCAGTGATCGGTAAATTATGCATCAGATTGGGTGCAATGGTGGCTAACCCAACAGATCAGGGAGGGGGAACTGCCCAGTTCGTTAAATGTTTTGGTTATTCGCAAGCATCTTCTTTAAGATCATCTTAGTAGGCAAAAACGGACCACCCGACAGTATAGCTGCCAATAGCTATGAAAGTAGTCATCGCTTTGATTTCCAAACCCTCTGTCTAACCCATCAGCTTGTTCTCTGACATTTACAGTATGGCGAGTGATACAAGCAAAATGCTGCCGTTTACGAAAGACTGGTAATCACTGGCAAACCAACATTCATTAGGGTCGCAATACCGATTATCATGCAGTCTAATCACAAATCTTTTCACTTACGCCAGGATTCCGGCTGTTTAATAGGCTTCTTTCTGACCGCTTACAAAAGAAGTTTCTGCAAAAAATGGCTTATTAGATAATATGCATTTTTATCACGGATTTTGACTTACTTTATAAATTCAAATATATTTCATGGAAAACGTGCATGAAAAAATCTTTGTTGTACTTGTTTGATAGTAAATTACGCCTTCTTTAACTTTTATACTTAAGGAAGGGGTACCTTTTCGTTTTAAAAAGCTTCTACATTGCCGAATACGTTTTTTTTACCTACCGACTGCTACATCTGAATTCCAGGTCCCCAAACAGCTTCCTGCGTACACTCTGATTCAGGAAAAAAGTGTTTTTTTGTCTACGGTTTGAGGGAGAAGTCGAATAGTGCTCAGAAAATTTCGCAATGGATGTGGATCATGCTGTATACATTTTAGGCAGCAGTAATAAACTGATGAATACAATAAACACCTCACAGTCGTAAATAAATTCATAATTTTAAAAAAAATTTAAAAACTAAAGATACCCCTTCTTTAAGTATAACAGTTAAAAAATGTTTAATTCGCTACCAAATGAGTACAAGAAAAAACACTCTCGTGCATGTTTTCTATAAAATATATTTGAAGTTATAAAGGCAGTGAAAATCTATGTTAAAAATGCATCCTATTTAGGTAATAATTTTCTTCCACAATCTACTTTTACAGTTGCAAACATTCTCATTACCTAATTCAGAACAGCATTTGGCGAGTGTACACTGTCGGTAAATTCTCCTCAGGCCATACATTTACATGGGAGACTTACATTTAAAGAATCGATCGATCGTCCTTCTCTAAAAGCTGAAGCCAATCAGAGCGTGGAAATATGCAGGCAGTTACGTAACCGTTGGCCATGCCAAGTTCGGAGCTTGCAGAAGGTTTTTTTGCATGCGAAAAACCGGCTTCCTCAACCAGATTACGGTTGCTTCTGCTGTCGCTAGCAAACGTTGACCCAGGGACTTTGGGTACTTTGGCGGGACCTTGTAAATTACCTTAAAGGCTTCACTGGGGTCCACACGATGTCCGGAGTCAACCATGTGGGCAAGGATAAAACTGTTGCTGCTTTTGATGTCACCTTTGGCTAGCCATGCCGAGAGCTGTTTCCGTATTCTTTTGGATAAGCGCCGACTCGTGCGACCGATATAACCTGCTCCACGGGAGCAAGTAAATGAGTAGATACACACAGAACTGGTCTGAGCTGGCAGCCTATCCTTACCTTCAGCGTGCTAGCAACAACAGAAGCAACCGCGATCCGGTTGAGGAAGCTGGTTTTGTGCGCGCAAAAGAACCTCCTGCAAGCCTCGAACTTGGCATGGCCAACGGTTACGTGACTGCCTGCATATTTCCACGCTCTCGTTGGCTCCCGCTTTTAGAGAAAGACGATGGATCGATTCTTTAAATGTAAGCCTCCCATGTAAATGTATGGCCTGAGGAGAATATACCGATAGTGTTCACTCGCCAAATGCTGTTCTGAATCTACTTTTCGTAAGCGGTTATAAGGAAGCCCGTTAAAGAGCCGGTATCCTGGCGTGACTGAAAAGACTTGAGATTAGACTGCGCGATAATCAGTATTGTAATCCTACCTAATTTTGTTTTGCAAGAGGTTACCATTATTTCGCAAATAGCGGCATGTTGCTTGCAGCACTCTTCAAACCGTATATTCTAGTAAGAATTGCACTCCTTCAGGCAGTGTATCGATCGGCTGACGAATAATCAAATGTAGTGATATGAAATCGGGAAAATGTGTACTTTAGATTTCTGATGACAGCAAATCTGTCTCCTAACCCGGTAAAAGAAGAAGGCTGCATTTAATAACCACGGCGCCACGAGACGATTACCTTTCTTCCATAATAGACAATCAGTGTTAGCCGAAATCCAAAAGCACATTTCCGATTAGGAGGGAGTGAACTTATCATACTGAGTACCATTCAGTATGCTTCGAAGATATTTCACACACATCAGGACGATGACATTTGAACACATTTGGTCTTGGCACCCTGTAAAAACAGGTTAAGCAGTAATGTTGTTATATTGCTTTTCTATATATTCATTAATCCAAACATAATTTATGGAAAACATGCAGATAATATGCTTCTTTTTACACATTTGGTAGCAAATGATGCCTTTCTCGGCATTCATTTTCGAAAAACTTATGATTTGCGGTTATATAAGGGTATACAAGTTTTTAAACAATTCTGAGCTGGATTTGCCCTGGTGTTCGTTTTTAGAGCTGTATACTTATCATGTGTTCTTAGCCGTATAAGGGTTCTCATATTTCGCAGTCAATGTTAATTATGTTGTATACTTCACAATAAGAATTAATAAACGCATAGACATGGTGCCATTTGAGTGGAAAGTAAAAGCTAGTAAAGAATATATAATTAGAAACATAAGAAACCGATCGGCTTCAGGATACACTCGTACCGTTCTGTCTTGGGACTCACCCCCGCGCCTAGCTGACGCTAGGAATACCTCATGGGGCCGCCTGGGG